GAATCAGCCACTGATCTGTTTCAACAGCGGCTAAATCTGGACGCCTGGAACAGAGCAGTTGGGGCGCTGCCAGGTAGGTCCCCGCAGCGCCGCACCTCGGCGCTGCAGGGACCAACCCGGCAGCACCCCAGCTGCTCTACCCCAGGTGTCCCCAAGTCAGGAAACTGATCAGCGGCTGATTCCAGGAAGCCCGGGGCAGAGCAACTCTGCCTCCGGCTTCCTGTAGTCAGCCCAGCTGCTCTGCCCCAGGCGTCCTGAATCAGCCACTGCTGAAACTGACCAGCAGCTCACCGCCCACGTCCTCCAGGGCGAGAAAAGCCCCGTTCGTAAGTATGGATCCGACATAAGTCGGATCCGCGTAACTCGGGGACTGCCTGTACTGCATTTACTCTATAAATCTTCTCAGAGATGCTAGTGTGAGGGGCAACACTTTTGGAGGCATCCCATCCCTTACCATAACTGCAGAAAACAGTGGGAATTCAACAAGTTCACACTTGCTGAGTTCTCCATCTCAAGTATGCAAGTAGCCCATACAGGTGATTGGGCCTCTTTTCTTATTGATTTTTGTAATTACTTTTAAATCATACTTAAAGGTTGAATTTATTACAAAAAAAAATCTGTTTTTGGTGTTGCAGAATCTGTCATAAGACTAAGCAAGCAGCAAATGAAACCTTGCAGAGGCTTTCACCATGCAAAACACAGGCAGAGCCTTTCTAGAATCTGGTGTGCAAATGTCATCTTTGTTTTACCTTCACGGTTGGACTGTGAAAACAATCGCCTGCCCGAGGCTATATAAGTTAATATATTACCTTTTACTAGGGAACAAACCCACACGCTCCGGCGACTTCAGAGTTACAAAAGGGGGAATTTGCTTCTCATCTTGGATTTTTAATCGGATGGGACGTCGTAGGCCCCAAAAAATAGCCAGGATTCCTTCGATAACTGGTTTGCTGCCTTCTGGCTGAAAAACATCAGGATTGCAGTGTTATGGCAGGCGTACAAAATTAGGTGTCACACAACAGCATCTGTTTAAGTCCTGGCCTGGGATTTTGCAATCATGGAGTGGATTCCTGACTATATGGCACAGCTATGTTGTAAATTAAAGGGAAAAGGCCCAAGCCAATACGCACTTTGAAAACAATGGAAAAGTTCTCACAGATGTTAGTGGGTCTTGCATCAGGCCAAAAGCCTAGAGTCCTTACAAAGTCCTTTCACCGGAGAAACTCCAAATGATTTAGTGGAGTTTTGGCTGCATACAGATTGAGAATCCCATGCTTCCCTTTTGCAGATTATTTTGCCAGGATTGATTCTCTGAGGACCCCATGTGTTCCCAGGAAGGCAGAAAAATGGAAAAGCTCTCCACTGTGGAAGAGGAAGGTGAGTCAGACCTCAAAGCCTGAGGATCTTGGGGGATACACCAGAAACAAGACACATGCACTCAGAGGTTCCTTGCCCCCATGCTCTCCCCCAGCCTCTCTGGCCAGAGCCGGGAGTGTGCTACCAAGCTCTAACCTGACTGCTGTTGTCCCCAGAGGCCACTGTTGGGCAGCTTCCCTGTGTTGAGGAGGATGCTGACAAAATTACAAGAAACTTGAGTGCCAGTGACCCTGCACCTTCCCTCCATGGGTTTGAATTGAGGGAGAGTAAAGAATGGAGAGTCCTCCCACAATGTGTCTTCCCTCAGCTGATGATTCTGGATCCTGGTGGATTTCTACAAGTCTGATTCCCTTTGATCTAGGGAATGAGATGGCAGGGAGATCCCACCGCCGAGTCAATAACTCCTTCCCCTTTCCACATAGCTTAGATCTGTGAGTTTCTGCTCCCCATCACTCTTGAAGAATCATAGAATCAAGGAATCTCAGAACTGCAAGGGACCTGGAGAGATGATCAAGTCAAGACCTTTCTATGCTTTATCATAGAATCATCAGAGTGAAAGGGATCCCAAGAGGTCATCAACTCCGGTCCCCTGCCCTCACAGCAGGTTCAAGCACCATTTAGATCATCCATGACAGGTGTTTATCTAAACTGCTCGTAAATATCTCCAGTGATGGAGATTCCATAACCACCCTAAGCAATTTATTCCAGTGTTTAAGCACCCTGACAATTAGGAAGTTTTTCTTAATGTCCAACCTAAACCGCCCTTGCTGTAAGTTAAGCCCATTGCTTCTTGTCCTATCCTGAGAAGTCAAGGAGAACAATTTTTCTCCCTCCTCCTTGTAATACCCTTTTAGATATTAAAAGCCATTATCATGTCCCTCTCAGTCTTCTTTTTTCCAGACTAAACAAATCCAATTCTTTCAAACTTTCCTCATAGGTCATGTTTTCTAGACCCTTAATCATCTGTGTTGCTCTTCTCTGGACTTTCTCCAGTTTGCCCACATTTTTCCTGAAATGTGGTGCCCAGAACAGGACATAATACTTCAGTTGAGGCCTTATCAGCATGCAGTAGAGTGGAAGAATTAATTCGCATTTCTTACAACACTCCAGCTAATACATCCCAGAATGAGGTTGGCTTTTTGTGCATAGTACGACACTGTTGACTCATATTTAGCTTGTAGTCTATTATAACTCCCAGGTCCTTTTTCACATTACTCCTTTCTAGGCTGTCATTTCCCATTTTGTGTCTGTGTAACTGATTGTTCCTTCCTAAGTGGAGTACTTTACACCTGCCCTTATTAAATGTCATCCTGTTTACTTTAGACCATTTCTGCAGTTTGCCCTTATCATTTTGAATTTTAATCCTGTCCTTCAAAGCACTTGCCACCCTCAGGGGACTGTGGAATTTGGTTATAATACTTGTTTTTTTATATTGTGAAGCTTATGCTATAACTGAAGAAGCACGCTCCATCTTATATATTAATATGCCACTAGCGTACTCCCAGGGTATTTTAATTTCATGATATATAGCTCACCTGCAGACTGCACCAATAGCTCATTACTGCAATCCTGCTGTGCTTTTCAAACAGAAAGTTATGTTTGCTTACATTTCTTACCTGATTATAGGAGAGTTGCAGATTCTCTTGGTCAACATAAAAATAGTTATAGGTCTTCAGTAAAGAGTTAAGTTGATCCCTAAAAGAAGTGATCACAATGTGACTACTAAAAATCTCTCGAGTACCATAAAATCCAGATGTCAAGGTCAACATTTTCAAATATACTTGTGCTTCTAAATCCACACTTAAATTTCAGGCATACTTAGCTCCCACAATCGCAGTGGTGTCAGTGGTAATTGTGGGAGGTTGGCAGCTCTGAAAAATCAGGCGAATTATTCTTGTGGCAAAATATTAATTTAGGCAGTCAGTTTTAAAGCACCCAAGTTTGAAATGTTGGTACAAATACCGTAGTTTAATAGGAAAGTCACTTTACAGTAATAATATAAAACAAGGATATAGTACAATATCTATGTCTGTTTCACTACAGTAAAGGGACTGGGAACAACAGATTCCAAAACTTTTCTTAGGAACTCTGGGCTTGCTGTAATTAGAAATGCTTGCTAGACAAATGGAACATTCAAATTGGGAGATTTGGTAGCTGATGAACAAATAGGGGCTTAGTTAAAATATTGCTTATAAACCAATATAAACAATTTCTCAAACCATTTGAAGGAGTGATGGAAGTTGGCTATTTAAAGATACATCTACATTTGAGAGGCAAACTATGATTCCCAGCTTGAAGAGGCATACCCACACTTGCTCTGCTTGAACTAGTGCAGGACTGGGCAAGATGCAGGCCAGGGGCTGGATCTGGCCCACCTAACACTTTGATCCGGCCCACGGACTGCACCAAATTTCCAGGTGGTGGCTCAGGCAGCAGGATCCTATTTAAATGGCTCACAGCTCATGGCTGCAGCGCTATCCCAGCAGGGGTAGGAGCTGTGAGCATTTTAAATAGTCCCAGCAACCCTAGGCAGCTCCTAGATAATGCAATAGTCACAGGGCCAGGAGCTGCAAGCCCTTTAAATAGCAGCCATTTATAGGGCTTGCAATGCCAGCCCCTGCCAGGGTAGCACCACGATCCTGCAGCATAGCTGCAGCAACCTCAGGCACCTGTCAGGCAACACGGTAGTGCTGGGCCAGGAGCTGGGAGCCCTTGGTTGTGTTTTTAATTCAAAGACTTCAGCCCCAGACAACTCTGGGGGAGGCTAGTTCTCAGCCCCACCCCTTCTACCCCAGGCCCCGCCCCTTCTGGGGATGGAGCTGGCATGTGACTACATACCAACATTAAATAAGTGCCCCCCCCCTTGTGAAAATTATTGCCCATCCTTGGTTTAGATTCTGGGTTTGATCAAACCTGAAACTGGAAGCAAAACTAGAGGTACAGATCACTGCCACCGAGCATAATCCATTAAGCACCATAAATATTAACAAAAACCTACCTGTGTGCAAAGCAAACACGCGGCATCTGAAAACTCATCCAAGTAAACAAATGACAGGTACACATTTGTTGAAAACACACTATTTACAGCTATTCTTTGAGCTATTATTTAATCAATCCCTTTGCCAATAATGACTTACAAAGGGAGTGGAAAATTATAAGAATGTGTTTATAATAGTAGCAGAAAAAAATGACTTTTAAATTACATGCAGGATCATACAGAGCAACAGATTATTGTGTAAATATTACACCAACAGGCCCCTGGTTGACCAGGAAGCTAAAGAAGAATCAGGTAAATATTTATATCTTTTGAAAGCTTAAAGCTGGCAATGGGAGTTAACTGTATTTATTGAGGACACAGTATAGTCCTTAGTGAAGAGAGAATCCTAATGTGAAAGTCAAAGGGACTAATTTTCAACTCTCTCTCAAAGTAACTACCTGTTTTCCTCCAGCAATAATTACTTGCAGGCACAAATCACATTGGTGGAACATCCAAGCACGAGAAAGCACGCACAACTAACCAACCTATTGGTGGATAGTAGAGCCACCCAGAGGATCACTCATTTGTTTTGGGGAAACTCTCAAGGTTTTAACATTTGTTCTGCTTTTACATGAAAATAAAACTTTTGAAACATTTCCACGAAAACTGGAGTTTGTGGAAATGTCCGTTTTCAGATCAAAATCAGAGTTCTTAAGTTTGGGAAGGGAGGGTGTTCATCTGGGTCCAAAATCTGAGCTTTTCAATTCAGGAGATAGAGGGAGGGACAGAAAAAAATGCTCTCTCTCTGCCCTCACTTTTAGGACACTTGCCTGGGATTGGGGAGACTCAGATTCAATCCCTGCTCTGCCTCATTCAGAACAGATGTTTTTCAGTCCTGGTCATTCTGAATCAGGCTTATCAGGGACTTGAACCTGAGTCTGCCATGTCCCAGGCCAGTTCCAACCAACATATTTTGACTAAATTTCATTTACTCAAAACTATTCCAAGCAGTTCTATGGGACAGCCTACGGTGACATCATTACTGGAGTCATCATCTGTGGAAAGTAGTACTCTCCCAGGAACAGGGTCAAAGCACTAGCCCATCGGCATGTTGGGCACTGCAGCCACATTCTCCAGAAGCATAGATTTTGGTGGGAAATATTTTTAGGAATGAGATAAATATGATTATTCTCATGTCAGTCATTCAGATCAGATTGTGGACCACTGTGCTGGGCTCTGTACAGACATGAAGTAAAAAGACATCTTGTACAGGCTGAATCTCCGAAATCCAGGATTCTCTGGTCCAGCAACATCTGTGGTCCAGCAGGACCATGGATATTTCTGTATCAGAGAGCCCCGTCCAGTCAGGGTCAGGAGCACAGCCCCAGACAACTGGTAATGGGGCTGGCATGGTAGGGAGTGCAGCCCCAGCCAAGGCCTGAAGCAGAGCCCAGTGGATGGGGCCAGGAGTGAAGCCAAATGGCCAGGGCTGGAACCCAGGAGCAGAGCTGACAGTTGGGAGGGGAGCCTTGACCTTCCCTGGTGGTCTGGCAAACTCCCTGTTTTGGGACTGCTCAGGTCTTGAGGGTGCCAGAGCAGGAAGTTCCAACCTGTACTTTCATAAGAAGGATGTAGGACTGAAATGACTCGTGAAGATAATTTCTTTATGGCAGCATGCCCTTTAGTCAGTAGGGCTTTGTCTACACTGCAGGGTTTTTGCACAAGAAGCTTTTTGCGGAAGAGATCTTCCACAGAAACGTCTTGCGCAAAAGCACATCCATACCTCTAAAGCGTGTCTACACTGCATGGACACACTTATGCAAGAAAGCTCTGATGGCCATTTGCAGAATGGCCATCAGAGCACCTGTGCTTTTTCTGATAGACTCTTTTGCACAAGAAACCCCTGTTGAGCGTCCACACACACCTTTTTGCGCAAAAACTCTTGTGCAAAAAGGAGTTATTCCTCGTAGAAAGAGGTATACCTATACAGCAAAAAGCCCTCTGTTCTGCTGGACCAGAGAATTTTCTTGCACAAAAATGTGCTTGAGGTGTGGACACTCCATGGGTTTTTGCACAAAAACAGCTGTTTTTGCACAAAACCCCTGTACTATAGACATAGCCTTGCAGTTTGAAGTATTAGGGCTCACTACAGTTTATAGGAACCTTTCCATTGACTTCAGTGGACTCTGGGTTTGGACTTTCTTGTACAGATCAACAACCCTGTTGACTAAAGTGATTCCTTCAAGAATAATTTTTTCAGCAGCTTTACCAGCTGAAGGGTAGTTGTGGAGCCCTAGGGTTTCGGCTAATGAAACAACTAACAACTGCCATTCATCCTCGCCTTTAACCAAGGAGGTTGGTGAAATGTTACCCTGTATTTGAATTTGATTGGAACAAAGGAGAAATCACAAGCAAATCTACTGGGAGGGAATAGCGAAGGATCATCCACGAGCAAGAAGCCAAAAAACAAACAGAAAGCTTAAAATACAAAGAGAGAGACAAAACACCCCTGGGACAGATATGGCAATTTCTTCCAGTATCCCCAAGAGACATTATCAAATTAAGGTTTGGTTAGGGTCCACTGTATGACAAATGGTTTAGGTATTATTAGGGCAAGGATTGTATGATGAGTTCTGCTTAATAATGATCCAAAGCAATACAGACTGATGCATGTTTCATCATCTGATTCTTTTTTTTTCTTTTTTTGGTGGTTCAGGTTCTGTAGTTTCCACATCAGAGTGTTGCTTTTTTAAGACTTCTGAAAGCACAATCTGGATTTTGGAAGGCACTTCAAATCTTAAACCTTAAGTGGAATGATGTAGCTGTCTCTAAAAATCACACATTGGTACTTTCTTTACATTTTGTGAAATCTGCAGTGAAAGTGTTTTTAAAATGAACAAGTGCTGGGTCATCATCCAAGACTGCTATAATATGAAATATATGGAAGAATGCGGGTAAATCAGAGCAAGAGACACAAAATTCTCTCCCAGGACTTTAGTCACAAATTTAATTAACACTTTTTTTTCCACAAGTGTCATTAGCCTGGAAATGTGTCCTCTGGAATGGTGGCTGAAGCATGAAGGGACATATTTTTAGAATATCTGGCACATAAATACTTTGCAGTGCCAGCTACAGAACCTCCTGTTCTCATTTTCTGATGATGCTGTAAGTAAGAAGTAGGAAGCATTATCTCTGGCAAATGTAAGAAAAATTGCTTGTCTTAGTGATTGGCTGAGCAAGAAGTAGGATGGAGTGGACTTGTAGGCTCTAAAGTTTTATATTATTTTGTTTTTGAGTGCAGTTGTGTAACAAAAAAAGTCTATATTTGTGAGTTTCATTTTCACAACAAAGAGATTAAATTACAGTGTTTTTATGAGGTGCATTGAAAAATACTATCTTTGATCATTTTTACAGTGCATCTATTTATAATAAAAATTACACTTTGATTTGAATCACTACTTGGAATATATATGAAAATGTAGAAAAATATCCAAAAAGTAAAATACGGTCAAATTGCTAAGGATGAGTAAAAGAGAATTGCACAAATACGAAGAGACAAAAATCAGGAAGGCTAACACATCAGAGGAGTTACACCTCTCAAGAGACATAAAAGGCTCCATAGATAGACAAGGATCAATAAAAAGATGAGGGAAAGCAGAGATCCTTTCCTTATGGGGAAGGAGAGATAAAAATGGAAGAATGAAGTGTTTAATGCCTTGTTTTTTTAGTCTTCAATATAAAGGTAAATTGTGACCAGATACTTAACACGGTATTAACAACAACGGGGAAGTAATGCAAGCCAAAATAGCAAAAGAAGAGATTAAAGAATATTTAGAAAATTGGACACACTCAAGTCAATCAGTCCTGAATAAATACACCCTTGGATACTTAAGGAGCTATCTGAAAAATCTCAGAATAGTTAGCATTATTTTTGAGAACACAGGGAGTAACTTCTTTGACAAGGTTACTGTCCTAGTGGCTAGGAGGGAAGTAGTAGATATGATGATTTTAGATTTCATTACGTTTTTTTCTCAATACTAAATGACACTCATAAGCAAACTAGGGGAAACTTGGTCAAAATTAAACTGCAAGGGGTATGCCCAACTATTTGAAAGAGTAGTTCTTGATGGCTGTCTGTAAAACTGATGGGACTGGGCAAGGGAGAGGGAGATTATCTAGTAGAATCTTAGAGGGATCTCTCCTGCATCTGCTACTAGTCAGTATGTTCATTAATTACTTGGAAACAGACTATGCTTATCAAGTTTGCAAGATGAGACCACCTGGGAGTGATAAAATGACAGGATTATAATTCAAAACCACCCTGACAAATTGGAAAACTGTTCTGAAATCAACAAGATGAAATTAAATTAAAAGTGCCAAGAATGACACTTAGAAAGGAAAAAATCAAATGCACAACTATAAAACGGGGAATGACTGGATAGGGATGATAAAAAACAACAAATGGTCTGGTAGCACTTTATAGACTAATAAAACATGTAGACGGTATCATGAGCTTTCGTGGGTACAGCCCACTTCTTCAGATTGTACTACTGAAAAGGATCCATTGATTATAGTGGATCACAACTTAAATGGGACCCAATAATGTGATACACTTGGAAACAACTCTAATATTATGGGGTGTATTAACTGGAGTGTAATACATAAAATGTGCGAGGTAATTCTCCCACTTTAACTTGGCACTAGTGAGGACTCAACTGGCATACTATCTCTAGTTCTGGGCTCCATCCTTTAGGAAAGATGTGAACAAATTGCAGATATTCTAGAGGAAAGCAACCAAAATTACAGTAAATTTAGAAAATCTGACCTTTGAGGTAAGGCGAAAAAAATGTGCATATTTAGTCTTAAGAAAAAAAGACTGGAGACCCACTAACACTCTCCAGATATGTTAAGGGGCTATTACAAAGAGGATGGTGATCAACTGTTGTCCATGTTCACTGAAGATAGGACAAGAAGTAATGGGCTTACTGGGCTGCAAGAGAGATTTTAGTTAGATATTAGGAGAAACTTACTAACTTTAAGAGTAGTTATGCACTGCAATAGACTTCCAAGAGTGTCAAGTCCTCATCACTGGAAGTTTTTAATAACATGTTAGATAAACAGCTCTTAGGGAGGGCTAGGTTTACTTAGTCCAGCCTCTGTGCATGTCATTATTCCCCTTTATTCAGCTCTGGTGAGGCCACATCTGGAGTATTGTGTCCAGTTCTGGGCCCCCCACTACAAAAAGAATGTGGACACATTGGAGAGGGTCCAGCGGAGGGCAACCAAAATGATTAGGGGGCTGGAGCATATGACTTATAAGGATAGGCTGAGGAAGTTGGGTCTGTTTAGTCTGCAGAAGTGAAGAGTGAGGGGGGATTTGATAGCAGCCTTCAACTTCCTGAAGGGAGGTTCCAAAGAGGATGGAGAAAGGCTGTTCTCAGTAGTGACAGATGGCAGAACAAGGAGCAATGGTCTCAAGTTGTGGTGGGAGAGGTCCAGGTTGGATATTAGGAAAAACTATTTCACTAGGAGGGTAGCGAAGCACTGGAATGGGTTACCTAGGGAACTAGTGGAGTCTCAATCCCTAGAGGTGTTTAAGTGTCGGCTTGACAAAGCCCTAGCCGGGTTGATTTAGTTGGGATTGGTCCTGCCTAGAGCAGGGGGCTGGACTTCATGACCTTCTGAGGTCTCTTCCAGCTCTATGATTCTATGATTCTAGATGACCTCTCAAGGTCCCATCAAGGATGATATGTCATACCTGCGTTTTTTGTGGCACATTTGATAGGGGTGTTTACCGAGAAATACAGGCCATGCATGCCAGCTAGACCATTTACACCCACTTCTGTTCTCTCTCTCAATCTGCCCTTTGGGCAAGTTGAAGACAAAGGGCTTGTGTTGTGGAACACCATGCAGGGCAGGACTGACCGAGGCAGATCCAAGGTCATGGTAATGGAAGGACAAAATGTGAAAACTAAATTTGAAGTGATTTTATTCAGCAAACACTATTTTAATGTCCATTCATTTTCCAATTTTTATTTCCCTCAAAGGAAAGAAACTTGCATGGTAATAGAAAGACTGAAAAGCCTCTGCTCTGAAGCATGTCTCTCAGCTAGTTAATTAAGCACAAGAAGCAAAAGGCTCTGGCTAGCTTAGTGCCTAATCTGGAGCTCATGTGTTTGTGTGCTGTGTTCACACACATTTAAATTGGTTAATTATTGGCGAGACCTACAGCACGATGTCCTAAAGCAGAATTATCATAAAGAGAACGATGACTAAGCAGGGAGTACATAATTATTACCTACCTATGTTCCATGGGTAAGGTTCTGATGTCCCTGTTTACATGGAATGGTTCCATTGAGTAACCTTATTGAAATCAACAGGCCCACCCAGAATGAGAGGCTATTGAGCCAGAATAAAGGGATGAGAGTCCGGTCTGGTATTTGAAAGTACAAACTCCAAAGGCCAGATTGTGATGGGTCTGTACATGAGGGGACAGTGAGGGGGAGAAAGAACAGTCACAGTCAAATCCTCTAAACTTCTTTAGAGGTTGCTTTCTCTGTGGGTCCCCTGGGGAGTACCTCATCCAAAGGTGCTCCAGGAAGGGCAAAGAAGATGTGGGGCAACAGACCCTACTCCTGTCACACTGGCCCATATATCAAGCTAGGTACTACCTGGGGAGGAGTCTGCATGCCAGGGTGGGGAATTGTTTTTTGTTTGGGGTCACTGACCCACAGGAAAATTAGGGGCCACATACAAGTGAAAAGAACAATACTCTCACATCACTATTCACACTCAACTTGGGGACTTGGGACCAGGCCTGCCAATGGGAAGGGCAAAGGGGGCAATTGCCCCAGATCCAGGTGACCCAAAGAAGCCTTTTAATTGCTGCTGGAGCACTGTGATGGTGTTCTGGGCAGCTCTTTGGGGTGCGGGAGAAGGGGACGGTGCCATACGGTATGCCTTCAGGCAGCGAAGGGGGTGCTGTGGTCTGGGTGGCACTAATGGAGGGCTGCCCTCCACACTGCCCCTTCTGCCTGAGACCTCACCCCTTCCAGGAGCATGAAGCTGTCCGCTGCACCTTGCTCATGGGCCTGGCATGGCTGTCACCTCCCTTGTGGGAGAAGGGGGGCATTGGGGCTCAGAGACTTGCCATAGGGCTGGAGCATGAACTGCAGTTTGCCTCACTGCAGAGGAAGTCCCAAGCCTCCCTGTAAGCAAGATTAAAGTAAGCCTCGCCCACAGGCTGGAGGCTCTCCTCTCTCATCCTAAAAGATGGTGTAATCTTTGCAGTTGCCTTGTGCATCAGAAAGTTTAGGGTGTAGCATAATACCAGGGAAACTTCCTGAGAGCAAGATCCACCCTTTGACTGTGGAACAATCTGCCAAGGGAAACATAATGCCAGCTCCATTCCCAGACACTTTTCAAATGTGACTGAACCAACATTTGCATTTGTAGGAGGCTGGACAGATGACCTCAAAGGCCTCAGGATTTTCTAGATGAGAGGTGCACAATGTGTGAATACATGTACAAATATACATAGGCAATTTCGAAAAAGATGTCCGGTCCAACTTTTCAAAAGAGCAAGGTTAGGCCTCCAAACCCATATTAGGGACCCATAAACTGGATTTCTGAGGTACTGAGCATCTGTTTGTCACATAAGAAATGGAATTTATGCACCCACATTAGAAAATGTAGGCCTCTATGTCTGCGCACCAGAAAGAAAGAAAAACGTTCAGCACATGAATGCCTGTTGACTTCATTGGGAGTTCTGTATGCAGAGGACAGGTAGGATCAGACTCTAAACCTCTACACTATTATTATAGACTCATCGCTTGTCCTTTGCATTATCTAATCTTAATGGGTAAGTGGAGCAGATCATTGCCAAGACATTAAATATTCTTATTGAAAAGTTACCTGGTAATGTACTTGTCCTCATTGATGGAAATAGCAGATGGTGGATGTTGCGATTTCATAGTCACTTTCTTCATTTATTTGAGTTAGATGGCACTACATGAATGGAACAGAATATTTTAAAAGTCTTAATCATTGTTCATTACATCTCTCTATTTGCAGTGTAGTTACACTTAAGTGCTACACTTGGAAAATGTGTGTTGATATATTTGGTTTGGGATAAGACATTAAAATGTTATTTTTCCTTAAGGGAAAACAATATATTCTGCATTTGCACTATAAAAGAGGGCATTCTCACTACTTGTAAGACTATTACAATACATAGTCCATATAGTTCCTATAATAAAAGGGACTATATGTACTATCTATAGTAATAGTCCCAAATATTACAGCTTACAATGGTATTAGTAATTCAAAGACTTGCAGCAACTACTTCAAAATACTTTGGTATTGTTTTACAAGAGAGGCTTGATACTGGATGAAAGTAGAATCTTTGGCACAGCATAGAATAGCTCATGGACAACAGATACAAAATTGCCTCAGGTTGCAAAGTGAAAGTGTCCTAGGCAGTAAACCTGAGGCAGGTTCCTATGGATTGGATGGGAAATGTTGAAATTCCGGTCGATCCAGTGAAGTCTTGTGGCACACAAAGTCAGAAAGCTGAGGTATTAAAACGGAAGCAAGGCTACTACTTGCATCATTATCTGTTGCTTTCCATATAGCTGTCTCAGCACTGCCAGACCAAAGAGACTCCTGGGAAGTCTGATTATTCAATTTCAGCTGCTCCCGAGTCATTCCATGGTATTAGAAATAAAAGGCAGACTAAGCAGAGTGTAACTGAAGAGAATGAAGATTACGTTTCTCCAATGAGGTGTCATTTGTCAACATTTGTCTGTTTTGTGTTGAGCAATTAAGTGGGGCATGGACAAGAAGAGATAAGAATGAAATCTCTCAAATCGCTATGGATTAAATTCAAAGATTCACTCTCAGCTTTTACTCAGGTAAATGTCATTTAAAGCCAACTGGCATGCATTTGTTTGAGGAAAGAGTAAAAACTGAATGTCAAATGCTGCTTACTGGGATTGGTCCAGTGTGATCCTGGACCAATCCCAGAAAGATGAGTGGAATCATTCTGCATTTACACAGCAGATTCTGACTATGCACATGGACCTAAAGGATCTTTTTTTTGGACTGATCCAATTCCCACCAAAGATAGCCACATATATTTCATTCACTTCAATGACAGATCAGCCCTTGTACAAGCTAAAGGCCACAGGACCCAGGCCAAATGGGGGTTTGGGTGAACCCAGCTTTACATCTGTAAGAATGAATGTAATAAAAGTTCAGAATGGCCAGAAATGAAAAGAGGGGGAAATTAAAAATCAGAAAGACTCTGGTTGGGGAAACATATGTGCTCAGTTCCTTCCATAGCATTCTTGCATACCAGTGTCTAATCTCTCTTCTTTAGACAAGATTTGATCCTCTGCTGACAGACCTTTATAGCTGTGTAAATGTATAGTTTATAAATATCCCAAATAAAAATAAAATACACTTAAGCAAAAAGTAGCAAGCAAAGAGACTTAACATTCCATTTATAGAATACCTTCATCCATTGCACCTTGACAGACAAGACCATCTAAGGCAGCACTGAGAGAAAATTGGCAGTCACAAAAGCAGCAGAGAACTGGATGGCTCTGCAAACCAATTGTCATCATTCTGGGCCAAGAAGATAGGAAAGGATCCTAACAGTTGGAAAGTATAAGAAATTCAGCCATTGGCATGTTTCCCTAACCAGAGTCTACTTTCATTGTTTCCTACCAGATTTAAATCCTGCCACTTAGCCTATAAGAGCAGAAGTGACTATAATTAATGAACTTTATGGGTAAAGGAGTGCAAGAAACTTTCCTCTCTGCCAACTCAGAGTTCAGTCACTTTTCAAAAGCTTGTAGAAGTCCACTGAAAAAGTCTCATTGACTTCAAAGGACATCGGATGATGCTCGGTCCAATTAAATATGCCTGCTGAGAAATGAACTCTGCTCAGTGATTACTGCGCAACACGGAATGGTGAATGACCAAGAAAGGAGATCCCCATATACAACTTTTATTGCACTGTGTTCTCTTCCTCAGTGTATTCAATGGGAACAATTTAATGTACCCTGAAGTAATTTACTTTGATTTAGTCTGATTTACCAGTGCTGCTAGGTAGATACTAATTTACATCAAACTGAACCTGTGTGTCAGTTCAAATTGGTGCCAGCATCTGCACCTGCAAAAAATGATTTGCAGATATCTGCATCCACATCCATGGATGCGGATACCCATGGACAATGCTCCTTCTAATCTTTTCCATCCATGTACGGAATAAATTTTTTATGTGCACCAGGACATGTGCGAATGTGTATCATCAACAGAAACACAAAACGGAGCTGTGGGAGCTTTGCTAATCAGTTGGGCAGCATTTTAATTTCTCCTGAGCGACCACACACATGCACAACTTACATGGAATGCTACTCACAGATAAAAAGCAAACACTGGCGGATTTGCAGGGCTCTACAAATGGCTACGCCATTATTCACTGGTAAGATTTAAGATAATATAGAGATTCAGCCATGCATAAACAAACCCTTTTCATACTTTGAGAAATATTTATATTGATGGTGGCATTAGTCTCCTGCTGGCTGGCAATACAGTTAGGTTGGCCCCTTATATCTCACAGAATGTATCAACAATAGCCCAGTGACCAATTGACTCTTCGACGCCCAGCATTATTAAATCTAGATTATTTGTGCTAAAGCTGCGTTTGTTGCTCAGTGCTCCTATAGATTATTTGTTACATTTTAGCAGTCAGGTCATTCATTCAGTTAAGGAGTGGATCCGAAGAACCGCAGATGGTTCCTACACAGTGAAGAAAATCTTTCTGTATGGGGGAAGATTTTGTATTGCACACAGCAACAGCCCTCACTCAAAGACATTTGTCATGGACAGGTTCAGGAGGGCTCATAATAGATTTTGATTAGTTGATAAAACTTTCCAGACAAATTTCAAATGGATGGAGGGCAAAACACAAGAGAGCCACCCAACCAGTAACATTTTCACAAATTTTGCCAAGGATGAAACTGTCAACATTTCTAATTTTGAAAAGAAAAACTACAAAAAGGGGGGGGGGGGGAGGTCAGAAGATGCTGGAAAGTCCTCATTACTTTGGCCCATTACCTCAGCAGTGCTGCTTATCGTGCTCCCCTGAAAGAGATGTTTAAGTCAATCTATTATGACATGGCAAAATAAACCTGGCAGCTCTTGGCACCCCTTTAGAGAGACACATTTATACTCAGACCACAAACTGTCAACGTTTCAAGCTTCAAACCCACATTGCTCATACTGGTTCCTGCTCTCCTCTCTCCTCTCTGACAGTTGGGCGGTTGACTGGTTTCCATGGCAACTCAGTGCTAGGTTCTGAGCATCCCTAGGGCAGGTTTGGCCCAGATCTATCTAGGCCACACCCAGCTTTCATTTGGTCTGGCTCAACTTCCTCAGGATGCAAGGGCTGTCGTGTATTAGCCAGCAGCACTGGTCCACTTCTTTGCAGAACCTCCCTTACTCCAGAGAGGGCTCTAGCCTCTCCCAGTTCAGTTAGGGTGACTAATCTAGGAAATTCCCTCCTCTCACACATACCTGAAACAAAAATATCCTGCTTGTGACCAATTTTATTCAAATCCAGCACTACAGCCATCAAACACAGCAGCTTCTTGAGTGACTTGCATACGGGCATTAGCTAACGATATGCCTGTAGGTGGAACAGACTATATTAATCCTATGCCATTTACTCTTAGATCACACTGAAGTCAAAACAAAATACAGGACTATGTAGCACTTTAATGAGAGGTGAGAGCATTCAGCATCTCAGAAATATACATTATGCAGTTGCACAAATGAATACAAGATAGTGCTGCATCTCTCTGTAGAAGCAACTATTGCCCTGCTGTATGCCAGTGCCTAGATTTGTCTGCCTTCTAGATCACCTCCCTTTTCCATGTTTGCCACCTTCCCACAAAGGGAGCAAAGAGTTTCCAGCTGCTGCCTTTAAGAGGACTGAGCAAGAAACAGTGAGAGGAAACTGTTCACTATCGGACGGATAATACAAAGTTGCCAGCTCTTGTTGCATTGCTTTGAGCCTGGCAACATAAGGTATTATCTTTTACAGTTTCTCCTGCTATTTAGCTGTACCTTAATCTCCTGACATATGAGGAGAGGTTGTGATAAAGAAGAATGTGCTAAATACTGGGCTTGAGTCTCTCAAACCAGTTTTACTTTGGTGTATTTCCACTGACTTAAGTGCATTTATCCCAACTTATACCAGTGAAGGTGACAGGAGAATTATATACTTTTCCTTTCAATAACTGGAAATCTCTCTTTTTTGGGGGGGAGGGGGGGATGGGGGGAAAGCAGCAGAGGAGAAAGCAAAGCAGATTGAAATCAACTGAAATGCTTCACATTTTGGTAACTTTGACATGAATTTGTTTGCCAAAAAATGCCAACATCAAACAGAATATTTCATTGACATTTTTAAAGGAAATATTTCCATTTTTCTAATTCAAAATTACTTCCAAGATTCCCACCCATTGTATTAAAACAGAAAACCCTAGAGAGTTCAAAACTCAAGTGAAACTTTGATTATGAAGGGTTTTCTTCAGACCAAATGGAATTTCCGATTCACCAAAAATCTAAAAACAAAAAAGTTTCGGGTCAACCCAAAATGATTCTCCCCACCATTTTTTTTGAATGGTCATCACATTGAGACATCCTTTATTCACACAGCTTTATTGTTTGCCTCAGAATCTAATGCAGCTATCTATTCTAGAAGGATAGTTCAACAAAATGTATACTGAACATGCTGCATAGTACACAGGGGTTTACATTATAGATACAAGGATGTATGCGTGACCCTTAATTCTTTTTAGTTTAGGTTCCATGGGGACACTTTATTATTTCACTTTTTGGTGTGTACCCTGGTATTCCTTTTGTTGGTTTGGTTTTATTTAACATTTGTGGATATAAACATATGTAAGAAGCAATCCACTTTCCACAAGCATAAAATGGATTTTATCTGCTTTTATACTGTTCTATGATGCTGTAAGTTAGGTGTAGCATACCGAGCACTCCTTTGTTTTAAAGGACTTTACTTATCCCCAGTGCCTCAATAACTCTAATTGAAAATAAAATACATTTCTATTTATTTTGCATCTATTTAGACACCTAGAAAGATGACAAAAAACCCAGCATTACTGTTTCAATGCATAACACAGGGCAATGCTCACAAGTGTGATAAAACCAACTTAACTGGTTGAATAAGTCAGATTTTACATCTAGCTTGGATCATGGGAGCAGTGCAAAGCAGCTAGAGTATGTTGATGAATGTGGCCCAGTAGTTCTAAAGTTAGACACAAAGGGATAGAGGAACTACATACATACAGAGTCCTATTTGCCTAGGTAAACATCAGGAAAAGGGCTTTAATAAAAGGCTTACGTGAGCCAGTCTGTTCCAGTAATGGAGGGCAGGTATTTATGAAGAAAAAATATTTTAATGGATTCCTACTACCTGAAATTCCTGCTACTAGGAAAAAGTTAGGTCCAAGTGACTTTTGAAAACACAGTTGTAATAAAAATGAAAAGTAGCAGAGACCCCCTCATCAGAGACTTATGGCTTCTGTTTGTATACAAGACAGGTACAAAACTTTTTCTTCTGCCTACCTTGCCCCCATCGTCAATTACAGGGACTATCTTTAAGGATGAGAATAATCTTATAAGAAATCATTTCTGAGGGTTTGCACTACACATCTCCTTGGCTCTAGTACGCTAACTAGCTGAAATAAATTTGACATGAGATCTCTCCAAAGCCGCACTAATTAGTCACTTACTGACACTGCGCATTAAACAGAAAGCAGAGGCGCAGTTCCAACTAAATTCACTTACCTGGATGTGTGATCAAAATGAACTGAAGAGTAACGGAAGAAAGTCACATGCTGTTTTATTGAGCCCCTGAAGAAGCATGACAGCTCTGCACTCTGACAGATGCCTCCAGATAGTTTTATATACGAGTCCACAGAGCTATTAATTGTTACTTTGCTCACGGAGCAGGGAAGTGTTGGAAACATGAGACACTCCCTGTACCTTGGTGCCTGTTGGGAGTGTTTACCTTCCTTTCTGTGAGCAGCTGATAGGAGCACTCCCTCTTCAGGGCTACACACCTAAGGAGGTTGACATACTCTTGTTAACACTTTAATAGCTGATGTAATAGCAAAAAGGCAGACTGCTGACACTCTGTTCACTGGCCAGATGTATCCTAAAAGCATTCACCACCTGTGTGCTGAAAGTAAATCTTTTCTATGCTTGTTTCCCTGTTCCTAGAGTCTGGGACTCTTTCTAAGGGTTCCTAGACTCTTTCTAAGGGTTCAGTACAGCAGCCAACATATGCAATTTGCTGCTAAGTAAATAATCAGAGTCCAGTATGTACCCCCTAATGGGGACAGAGCTTGATTAGTAACACCTACATCTGTAAGGATATTGTGCAGTTATAGCAGGATATTATGTAGGTAAGCAATATTTAAGATTTACTGGTAAAGATTTGTCCCCATTACGGGGCTTAAGTCAGTGTTAACTGCACATCAGCTAATTGCCAAAGTCAGCTACAGGAAATTCCCAACTTATGGAAGGGTTGTGTTCCAAAAGTTTGTTTGTAAGTCGGTTGTTTGGAACTCGGAACACATTTCCCCATAGAAACATTACAAATGCCGGTGAGTTTTCTAGGCTAGCCCACAAAACCCTATTTAACCCATAATATAGCTGAAGTACTGTACATCTGCAATGAAAAACAGTAGAAAACAATACTGTTGCAACACTAGTCATTACAGGTGTATCACTGTTACTACCTATCAGACATGATCAGGGTCGTTTCTTGGCTCACAAATGGAGTGACACACTGCTTTTCCCTCGGGAGCGAACAAGCCACTGCGTAGCATACACAGATGTAGCATATAGTATGTGGTATGCTGTCCTGCCGCAAGTGGGTCCCAAGGCGATGACTTGTTCACATATGCCCGAATTATTAAAATAATAATATGTTACGGAGCTCTGTGCATACGTGCAGATGGTTGGAGGTGTGTGATTAGTGGACGGCCTGTACTTGCATAGTAAGTTGCAGTTGAAATGCTGCTCTGTACTATGTATAGGCCACATCACAAGGCTATGGGCATTCATTTCTCTTGAGTGGCTGCTAGTTCGTAGGCAAGATGGAAGAAAGTCCATGGAGGTTGTGATGAAAAAGAAGAACGTGTAAAAATACTGAGCCTGAGTTTATCCTCACAAGCCAATTTTACTTGTACCTCCAGTGACTTTCATAAAGTTACCCCAGTTGAAACCAGTGCAGATAAGCAGAGAATCAGATACTCTGCACTAAATATAAAGGGTATTATTGCTTATCCTCTAAATATTTAACTTCAGGTCATTCAATTTCCACTCACAGCTCTGCATGCAGGGTGATTGGTTGGCTGCACAAAATAGTGTATTTGGTTTGCGGAAACTATGCTTATCTAATACCGTTCGATTCTACAGCTTGTACTAGTGGTGACTGTTTCACATTAACACCTCCCGCACAGTAACTGCCAAACGCACAGATGGCATGTGTTTCATAGTTGTGCATTTTGTAATTGCAGTGGAGTGCATAATAATAAGCTGTCTTGAAAGAGGCACTGTAATGGCTAGATAAGCATATTAGCTTTCATTCAGTTCACGGGTACATGACGACACTGTGAATGGTATTGCACTATTGCTCCAGTTTTTCTGCTGGGTATGGTGGGAGTAGACTGTGTCATTAAGATTACAGCAGAAGCTTCTCACCTTAATGCTTGTGATGGGTCTGGAGCAGAAAATTCACATATGGATCCAGATTCCAAGGTACCCCAAAGTCACATGTGCCTAGATGCAGAGTTTTGGTGCAAGTCCCCCACAGCTTAGGACTCGTGAATATTTCACTATTTTGCAAGATGGTGCAGAGGAAAAGGATAACATTCACATGCATGCCTGGGAACCAAAGTGAAGATACAAGCAACCAATGATTCTGAGAGGGTCTTCCAACTGAAAATCTGGACCACATTTACCATTTTTATAGCCCAATTTTTGTCTGGATCATTCTTTGGGGAAAATAGGGGAAGTGAGTCTGGAACAAAAATATTTGAAATTTAGGTCCAGGTCCTAAATCAGCAGAGCTTCACTGCCATCAATGGATTTACATCAATATACATTGGTCCAAAACAATCTCAAATGCCATAAAATAAAAATAAAACAAATAAATAATTAAAAAAGATCCCCAACTCACTTAATAAGCAGTGGGTCATCTGGAAAAATCAGAGTAGACAGACTTGCATTGGCAGGACTTGAGCTATTACACTAAAAATAGCAGTGTGGCCATTGTATCATGGTCTGGAGTACAGAACCACAGACCTAAGGAGGAAGTGGGCTGGGGAGTCTGAGTTGCAGCTCTACACTGCTATTGTCAGCGTGCTAGCACAGCCACTCTAGCAGGAGTATAGACATACCACATTTCACGGTCCTTCCCCTGAGCAGCCTAGAGGCTGGCAAAACCTAGCTCTGAAAAGCTTGACTTTCATTTGGTCTTTGTGTGCAGATATAATCCAGCTGATACATGGAATCTTAGAAAAGCAGGGCTGGAAGGGAGCTGGAGAGGTCATCCAGTCCAGCTCCCTGAGGCTGGGCCAAGACATCATCCCTAACAGCTGTTTATCCAACCTGTTTTTAAAAATCTCCAATGATGGGAGTTCTTGCTTGGAGGCCTAATACAGAGAGAAAGATTTTTTTGCCCTCTAAGTTTTTCTATAAGGCTCAGACTTCCTCACCTCTATTTACATAAGAACATAAGAACGGCTATACTGGGTCAGACCAAATGTCCATCTAGCCCAGTATCCTGTCTGCCGACAGTGGCCAGCACCAGGTGCCCCAGAGAGGGTGGACCGAATACAATGATCAAGCGATTTGTCTTCTGCCATCCCTCTCCAGCCTCTGACAAACAGAGGCCAAGGACACCATTTTATCCCCTGGCTAATAGCCTTTTATGGACCTAACCTCCATGAAATTATCTAGCTTCTCTTTAAACTCTATTATAGTCCTAGCCTTCACAGCCTCCTCTGGCAAGGAGTTCCACAGGTTGACTACACGCTGTGTGAAGAAGAACTTTCTTTTATTAGTTTTAAACCTGCTACCCATTAATTTCATTTGGTGTCCTCTAGTTCTTCTATTATGGGAACTAATAAATAACTTTTCTTTATCAGCCCTCTCCACACCACTCATGATTTTATAGACCTCTATCATATCCCCCCTCAGTCTCCTCTTTTCTAAACTGAAAAGTCCCAGTCTCTTTAGCCTCTCCTCATATGGGACCCGTTCCAAACCCCTAATCATTTTAGTTGCCCTTTTCTGAACCCTTTCCAAGGCCAAAATATCTTTTTTGAGGTGAGGAGACCACATCTGTACACAGTATTCAAGATGTGGGCGTACCATAGTTTTATACAGGGGCAGTAAGATATTCTGGGTCTTATTTTCTATCCCTTTCCTAATAATTCCTAGCATCCTATTTGCCTTTTTGACCGCCGCTGCACTCTGTGTGGAAGTTTTCAGAGAACTGTCCACGATAACTCCAAGATCCCTTTTCTGATTTGTTGTAGCCAAATTAGCCCCCATCATACTGTACGTATAGTTGGGGTTATTTTTCCCGATGTGCATTACTTTGCATTTATCCACATTAAATTTCATTTGCCATTTTGTTGCCCAATCACTCAGTTTGGTGAGATCTTCTTGGAGTCCCTCACAGTCTGCTTCTGTCTTGACTATCCTAAACAGTTTGGTATCATCTGCAAACTTTACTACGTCACTGCTTACCCCTTTCTCCAGATCATTTATGAATAAGTTGAAAAGGATTGGTCCCAGGACTGACCCTTGGGGTACACCACTAGTTACCCCTCTCCAATCTGAAAATTTACCATTTATTCCTACCCTTTGTTTCCTGTCTTTTAACCAGTTCTAAATCCAATAAGAAGCCCATTACTTCTAATCCTACTTAACAATTAACAGCTGATCAGAGTCCTTTTTATAGAAGACTGTAACATATTTGAAGACTTATCGGTCCTGCACCCTTTTCTCAAGACCAAACATATCCAGGTTTGTGGTTTTTTTTAAGCCTTTCCTGATTGATAAAATGTTTAGAAAACCTGACCTTTTTATTGGTCTCCTTTGGTCTCTGTCCAGTTCACCCCCATCTTTCCTGAATCATAGTGCCCCCACTTGGACACAACACTGCTGAGTAAAGCAGGACAATTACCACCATCCACATCTTGCATGACATTCATGCTAATACCGTAAAATCTCGAGTATAATGCACACATTTTTCCCGTTTTTTTTAGCGTCAGAGTTGGGATGCACATTATTTATAGGAGGTTTTTAAAAAAGTTTTAAACTCACCTTTGGCAGGCATGAGCTGGGTGGGGTGGGGGCAGGCACGAACTGGGTGGGAAGGGGACCTCCACCAGCAGGCGCAAGCTCGGCATGTGGGCATCTGGACAGAGGAGGCCCCCCCAGCAGGCACAAGCTCGGCGTGCAGGTAGCTGGGCAGGGGACAGATTTCCTTCCCTCCCGTTCTCCTGTATAATGGGTGTGCATTATACATAGGAGTTTGAGTTTTTCATGATTGTAAGAGTCTAAACTCATGGTGCACACCATACATAGGTGCTCATTATATTCAAGATTTTACAGTATGTCCCAGAATGGTCACAGCGCTGGCTCATGTTCAATTTGTGACCCATTATTACCCCACATCTGCTTTAGCAGTATAGGTTGAACCTCTGTAATCCGGGACTCCCTGGACCAGCAATATCCGTCGTCTGGCAGGACCATGGATGTTCCAGGACCAGAGAGTCCTGGTGGAGGGCTGGTGGCTCCTTGGCATATCACAACCGCAGTGTCAGGAGCTCAGTGCACCACAGTGGGGCTGCCCGGGAGGCCAGGAGCTCCATGTGCAGGGAGTTGGGATACAGCCGTGAGCCAGATATGACCTCCCCTGCTCCAGCGAAATCCCTCTTCTGGACCAGTCAGGTCCCGAGGGTGCTGGACCAGGAAGGTGCAACCTATACTACACCAATTAGTCCCCCTTTTGGAGTGGTGCGTTTGGTATTTCCTTCTTAGGTGAAGAGCGCTGCAATTCAGTTGATTGAATTTCATGTTGCTGATGGCAAATATGTCTCTTCATACCATGGGGATTTTCCAAGCGCTCCAGTGTGCTGAATGGATACAACTTTAATGTAAACTGGGAAGCTATGCCACAACATGTCAAAGTTTCCAGGGGAACAAACCCAGTGTAAGCAGAGATGTGGCTGATTGAGGCAATCCTGATTAAACACAAAGAATGTGCTCTGTCTTCACAGTATCTTTTGGATATTTTTATTCTGTGGTAACATATTTGGGGCAAATTCCTGATGGTGCAAATGGATGAAACTGAGGAAAGTGTAAGTGGGATAGGGGAAAGACTGCTGGTCAAATAGCTGAGCCATTTGATTAACCCTTAGGAGACCAAAGTTCAATTCCCAGCTCACACACAATATTTCTGAGTGACTCTGGGCACTTGTTTAATTTACCCCATGTCTCAGTTCTCCATCTATTAAAAGCAATTAGCAGTTCTTTACGCCACAGGAGTTCTATGAGGGAGAAAAATCCATTGACAAACTGAAAGATTTCAGACAGTGGATGATTTAAAAGAACACAAATAAATTCTAAGAATGACACGTTTGCCTATGCAGCAAAGAACATGGACCACTTACTTCAATGGAGCTACTCTTGATTTATGCCTCTGTCACTGGAAGGAGAATCAGGCCTTCTTAAGAGGCTACCATATCTCATGACTTTGGTGGCAACTGCTCTCACTCGCCATGGTCTTCTCCAAGAATAGCCAATCAAAGCCTGAGAAGGAGCCAGAATTTACCAATGCACTTTGCAAAAGAGCCAGAAAAATACATCAGCAGCTCCCTCCCTTCCTCACCAGCATCTCCTGCCCACCATCAACCCTGCTGATCAAAACCTTTCCTTACCTCCGTCCTTGCTCCCACCCAGGAGTGCTAGAACAATCTGGATCTTGGGGGTGCTGAGAGCCATTGATACAAACTGTAAACCCTGTGTATAATGGAAACCTCTTCAAGTCTTGGGGTGCAGCAGTGCCCTTGCATCCCTAATTCCAGCACCTATGACCCTGCTTGTGACAATCAGCTGTTTTGTGGAGCACTGGAGACTCTGGGGGGAAGAGGAGGAGCAAGGGTTCAGCTGGTTGGGGATGGGTTGGGAAGGGTTGAGGGCCTTGGGAGATGGGGTGGAGTGGGGGCAGGGCCTGGGTCAAAGCTGGAGGTTCAGGAGTGAGCACCCCCGGCACATTGGAAAGTTGGCACTTATAGGGCCAGCCCCAGTGTTGGTGCCTAAGCAAAGATCCACATATTAACTTAAGAAAAGCTGCACGTGGTGCCAGAGCCAGAGGTCGGCCGCCCCTGCTGTACTCTGTGACAACAGCAGAGGACACGATAACTGTTTGCAGATAGTCTGATGCTCTTCATGAAATAAGTATAGTCTGAGAAGGAGTGACAGCAAATACCAATTGCTGAACTCTGTGGTTTTCACTCTGTTACTGCTTGGGAGCAGAATAAGAGGCAGAGACATTTGAGCTCTGGGTAAAGCTCAGAATGGAGACAAAATTTGTAACTTGAAACCTATGTGCAATCTGCAGACATGGTCTGCAGATACGTGCCTCTGTGGATAAGGATAACCAAGGATCTAAAGTACATATCCAGGGCCATCCTCACCCACATGCACAATCTGCAGCTGGGTAGGGCATCTGAAAATCGGGGGCACCACTGGGTCTTAATGTCCACTCATTTGCCTTTTCCTATCCCTGCCCTGTAGCTTTGCTTCCTCTGGAGAGGCTCTAATTAACTGGAAAGTGAAAAAACCTGCCAGAGCTAGAAGATCACTGAACCTGTGAAAGAGCCATTCAACAGGTATTTGCAAACCATAGGTATATGCTGTCACTGTGCCTACGAAAGCTCATGGTGCCTTCTAGATGTCTTGTTAGTCTTTAAAGTGCTACCAGACTATTTGTTGTTTTTTGAACTTCCTGTGTTAGCCCACAGGACTTTAGTTTAATATTCAGTTTAAAGTATTTCATTGGTGTGTTGCTGAAGATTATAAAGTCACAGATCTAAAAAAATCTGTCCCCCACAGCTGCCATTGGGCATAGGGGTACCAGTTTAATAGAGCAGCTTGAAACTCTCTAATCCGGCATTCTCTGCTCTGGCAACATCTGTGGTCTGGCATGATTTTAGTTAGGCAGGTGTTCACTTATCACAGATATGGACAACTTTCCCACAATCCCATAAAGTTTGTTTACAGCCACTGGGCCTGGCTCTCAGTGTTCTATGCTGTTGTTTAGCTCTAAGGGTATGTCTACACTACAGGGCTCTATCGACAGAGCCATGGTGATGAGGGTTGTAGACATAGCAAAATGAAGTGGCGATTTAAATAATCGCCACTTCTTTTACATCAAAATGGCTGCCGCACTGTGCCAATCAGCTGTTTATCAGCTCAGCGCGGTAGTTTGGACACTCGGCAATCGACATCAAAAGTCTTTGTTGACCGCCCTGGTAAACCTCATTCCACGAGGCATGATGGGGCGGTTGACAAAGGCTTTTGATGTCGACTGCTGAGCGTCCAGACTACCACGCTGTGCCAACAAACAGCTGATTGGCACAGCGCGGCAGCCATTTTGATGTAAATGAAGCGGCAATTATTTAAATCGCCGCTTCATTTTGCTATGTCTACAGCCCTCATCTACATGGCTCCGTCGATGGAGCCATGTAGTGTAGACATACCCTAACTTATCCCTAAATGTCTTCTAAGAGCCCAGTAAGCAGTGGAAGTGTGGGTAACGCTGCCAGACAATACTGACCTCCCGTGGTACGGCAAATTCTCTTATTCAGCACCGCTTAGGTCCCGAGGGTGCCGGACTAGAGAAGTTCAACCTGTACCCCATGAATACTAAGAATGGCCCTGTACATATCTTTAAAGACGAGTTGTATGTCTCTTTGGACTCGGGTACACTCACCTTGCCTAGTCCATAGTTGTTCTGTGTTCTACAGTTATTCTCCTAGAATTTGTATACTGTGTATTGTACTTCTCAGACGTAACTCTGCTGACATCAGCGGAGTCTCACTGCTGTAAAAATGATGTAAATAAGAAGAGAACTGACACTATTTTGCATATAGGCACCAATTTAATTACCCAGCACTACTCTTATGTTATGGCAAAATTATACAGACTGATAAGGAAATGTATACTATGAATGTTGAAATATAAAGCTAGGCCAATGTTTAAAGAGCTGGATTTTCAAACATGTCCAAGTGGGAGCTTGATTGTAACTCACTCAGGCTCTTTTGAAAATCCCATCCACTGTGTGTGCTTGAACAGAACCAGGGAAAGCCAAAGGGGAGAATGCAAATCACAGGTTGGCTGATTTCCAGTGGCTCTGCCTCCTGTTTGGCTGCTTGCAGAGATCACTGAGGTATTGCCTCTCTTTTGGCATTTCCACCCACCCTCATGTGTATTTCAGGGCAAATACTCAGGAGTATTCATTCTCCATCTCTTAGTAAAGGGAAGCCTGCTCTCCAAGTCTCCTTTCCTTGTTATGCTGCTGCCCTTCTAACAAGGCATCAAATAGCTACCCACAGGGAATTTCAGCCCTCTAACTCCCCTTACATATCATAAATACCACAGTACTGCACACATCATGTGCTAACTATTGCTGATGCCCCATTCGGATACATACTATCTTACACCATCATATCTTTAATATTTTCTGAAGAGCAATGGCATTCTGTCGGTGCTCATTTCAATTAGGTTATTTACTTTAAAACCCCATCACACTCTGCTGATATTGCCAATATAGTGAATGCCACATGTTGTGGACAGCCACTAGCTGAGAGCTGATTGCAGAAGTGGGTGCAGAGCTAAATACTTCCCCCAGTGCTCAGACTCACTCCCACAACTGCTATGGGATTGCATAGGTGTTCCTTAGGGCAAAATTAGGCTTTGTGGCTATCATGGGCTTTGGGCCCTTCTGGTTTAAGAGTGCTATCCAAACAGTGTGAAGGCAAGAAGAGAAGCATTTATGAAACCCCAGGGTAGGTTCGCCAGCACAATCGCTGTCTTTCTCAGGACACGGATGCACCTGTAAAGGAGGCAAACCAGCAAGTGACAGGTCAGAACCATGCAGGAATTACAGGAAGAATCTTTCTTCCTGGTTGGTTAGGGTGTGTCTCAGTCTGGAATTCTACCCACCTATTTCTGATGTTCTCAGCCCTCCAGGCGATGCCTTTGATTCCAGCCCACAGACATGCTCCTGCAAGTGAAAAATTTCAGCTGCAAATGAGCGAGTTCAACCTCAGAAGGGGTCCTGTCATCCTGGCTGCTGGGGAGCAAGCTGTGGTGGGAGAAGTGCACCTAGAAACCAATTCCACGTTTAGTACATTCTGGGACAAAGCCAGAGTGCTCCCTCATGGCTGCACAGCTGCTGTGCATAGAAGGCAAGTCCCACAAGACAGCCAGGCAATGGCAGGGAAATGGGAGCGTCTCTACATGATTGTCAGCGCCATGTTACATTCCCTCAGGTCCACACCCACAGCGCAGGTTCTAACAGGTGCATGAACTAAAGCAACCCCAGGCTTGAAATCAGGTTCCAGTGGTATTGTGGACAGGGGAACACTCACAGTGGGGCAGTGCTGGAGCAGTCAGTACCATGCCCATCCTGAGAACAGGGGACACACACTCACAGCAAGGGAGTGCACGATGATTGTGCAAGTCCAGTAGATCTTTCTATCCAGTTATTTCTGGTGGAAACAACTAGGGTTGCCAGGTGTCCAGTTTTGAACCGGACAGTCCAGTATTTGAGCTTTCTGTTCGAGAAAATAGAAAGGTCCGGTATTTTCTAAATAAGATGTAATGCAGATTGTGATGTAATGTCAAGTGTGTCTGGTATTTTTGTTGAAACCATTTGGCAACTCTAGAAACAATAGCTGGGCAGAGAGCACCCCACTGCCGCTGTGGATGCTCAAAGCACCAAGGTACAGCATACGATGCTCACATATTGTTGGGAAACTGCAGAACTTGTTTTTTTTATTCTCTATTGACATCTCTTCGTCCCTCATACATCCAAGAATAAAACAAAAATGACTTTCCATTCAAAAAGAAAAGCCCAATAACATTCCCCCACCCTGTTATCCACTATTACTAGTTGGCTGGGATGACCTCACAAAAGGAAATGGTACTTGCTGTGTGATGTTCTTGACTAGAACCAGAGAGCACATGGCCAGAGCAGGGAGGAGAAAGGAAGAGTATTTCTAGCAAAAAAGACCACCAGTTTGTTGGTGGAACATTTAAATCACAAGGAAATTTCATTTTCAAAGTAGATTACAAGCATTAAGGGACAGATTCTGGCTCCCTGAGTCATATTTTGCATCCTACTCCTCAGGCAATCTCGTTGAGTGGGTCTGTTCTCAGAATAAGGTGCTAATGGTTCCACGCTCTGGGCCCAAATCTCACACGAGGTAGGATCTGTACTCCAGTGTTATCTCTTTATTTTACACAGAGGAGATAAGTTAACACATGACTACAAGACTTAGATTAGAGGAAGTCACTGTGGCAAGGCGGGTGAGGGCTAAAGGACTCCTAGTTCTCCAACTCAAGTGCTCAGGTCACTAGGCCATATGCTCCAGGACCTGCCCATGCTAATCTGCTGTAAGAATTTCCTACCTGCAGGTTCTTTGGGCTGCAAAGCCTGCTACTGAGTTCTGGGGCTCATTACACCTCATTACTCCTCTTTCGTTTATAAATGAAAAGCAAATGTCTAGCCTTTTCCACTGCCTCAAAATCTAAGTTCATTACTAGCATGACATATTTGAGTAATTTTTCCTAACTCCATAGGCTGTCCCTGGTCCTGGCTATATCTGCTCATGATGACTTTGCAGCCTGTGGAGCCCATGGTGATGGATCCCTAGATTCTCTGGGAAGAAGAAGGGCATAGGCAGGATGAGGATCATTTTATGATATCTACAAACAGCATGCTGTCTGGCAATTGCCGAGCCAGCTCCTTCACTGAACTGGGTGGACAGCTTCCAGCTACAAGGGTGGGGCAGCACAGAAGCCAGCTCAGCTGAAGGCAGAAGGAACAAGTCCCGGTGGTAACTATTTTATGTAAATGCACCTCAATAACATTGGGGGAAGCCTCTGTTTTGCATCTGTTCCTGCCGTGTATCGTGTTTACTTGGCCAATAGCTATTTAGGGTGGGGTGATTACTCTGGGCCCTTATGTTTTGGGCTGCAGTTTTCCAACCAACCTCCACAGCTTGGAGATCAGCAGGGAAACACAGTCTTCACTTATAAGATTATCTTCTGCATCTCATCTCTGCTAACCCAGGGCCTTTTCCCTGGAGCATTTTCTCTGGATTAAGTGTCTGCTTAAATCCAGCCCCTCCCCACACACTTCAGCTATCCATGATTGAGTCACATGATCTTTTCGAAAGTTAGCAATGGGAATGAGACACATCTCCCCTTAAAGAGCCAGTGATCTTGTGACAGGGAGAGGATTTCTGATTTCTGGTAGCAGCATTAGCATCATGCACTGAGGTCACAGATTTGACAGCTTGCCTGACACAGTTGTCCCTTTGTTTTCCCTCTGGCTCTGCATTGCTTCTCCAAAGGCGTCTTTCTCCACAGATCAGGACGAGCTCCATAAGAACAGGCTCCAAGTACAACCTCTCCTTTTCTTAAACAATATTTGAGGATGGTCATATCACGCGAGAATTCAAGAGGCATAAGGAAATACAAGTACATGACCCAAGAAACTGTGTTCAACTCCTAGATAATGAGGAATATTGAGGGCTGGAGTGACCCCTGGTGGCTTTTGCTGTAAGACATACATCAGAGCCATATATTTCATGGCCTCCATTTCTTCAGCTTCCCTTCCAAAAAATTAACTTCAGCCCGCAGCACATTCCGGCTACATTCAAGTCCCATCTTTCCACAGGGTTTCAGATGTAGCTGCTGTTTTTAGCTATCCACTCATGTTAAAAAAATGTCACTAATCAGGAATGGTTTATAAAACTAGCAGGCCGAAATTTTCACACCTAAATTCATGGCTCAATTTTCAGTGATGCTAAGCACTCAGCCCTTCTCACTGAGGCAGTGGAAGCTGCTGAGAACTCAACACTTTAAAAAAAAATCAGCGTAGAGCTGGTAAAATAAAGTGAAAGTGGGTTTAATGGAAAATGGCTTTTTTTGATTAAGTGGAAATTTTTGAAAAAAATCCATTTTTGATCAAAAGTTTCAATTTTTATGCTGAACATTTTCATAGTTTGGTTGACAATATATATCTAAAACATGGGGGATGACAAAAACTTGATTTATATATTTTTTAAAAGTTTTCATCAACAATTATCATGGGAAACAAATAAATTTAAAAAAATACATATTTTCCAACCAGTCCTACACCAGGCTTTGTGTCCTACTGCTTCTCTCCAGGTGTTCTCCCAGTCTTCTCCTTCTGACTGGCATCATGTCTTCCCTGGTCCGGTCTGACTCCCTGCCCCCACTCTTTCTCCTCAAGCAAGTCTCTCTTCAAAACACTCTCTTTCAAAGAGAGTTTTAGTCTCTGCCGCGCCTGCCCTCACCTCTTGCAGGTGTATTAACAGACTCCATTAAAAAGGTGTGCTAAAGCATCATTAAAACAATTATGTACAAATCATGGTACTTAACCAAAGGCATGCTTAATGGTGTCCTTTCCATCACAGTGCTCTTCCTTGCTTTTCTTCCTTGCGCCTTTATTTTGTTTGGCAGCAGCTTAAACTCCTGTAAGGCAGATTCTCTTTCTCCCCTTCTGTAAAATCCCCAAATATTGTATTAGTGGTATGATACATACATAGAAACAAACAATATGAATAGAATACATAATTTTATACAATTATCAATCTAATGAATCTGTAGCATAATATAAGAGGACAAAGTACAGGTTGAACCTCTCTAGTTCAGCAACACCTGTGGTCCAGCATGATTTAAGTTAGCTGGATGGGTGTGGCCAAATTTCCCACAGTCCAATAAAGTTTGTTGCCAGCCACCAGTCCTGGCTGTCAGTTCTGTGCTGTTATTTAGCTCTAATTTACCCCTAAATGACATTTAAGAGCCCAGTAAGGAGTGGAAGTGTTGCCAACACTGCTAGACAACATTGACCTCCCATTGTTCGGCAAATTCTCTGGTTCAGCACCGGTCAGGTCCCGAGGGTGTCAGACTAGAGAGGTTCAACTTGTATTCTTATTTTGCTATAAATCACTGCCCCCTCCCTATGTCAGTGAAGTGGGACAATCAGGGTGCAGTTTGATAGACAGGCCACATGGTGGGGCCAGCTCACAATGCATTGAGTCATTAGCTTTATATGAAGGAAACAAAGAGTATCAGAAAACTGCTCATCTGTATCAAATCATACAGGGAACACAGTGTAAATGCAATAAGCAACCCCCAGCCTACCATCAGACCTAGCACAACAGTACTTGCAATTGCTGCATCTGAGCTGTCCAAGGGATGGGCAGCAGGCATACTATTGTCCAGTTGGCTGAGGAGTGCTCACCAGCAATAGGATAAATTATTTTTATTTAAAGCAAAGACAAGGAAAGAATATGTACACTGGAGAGGGCAAAGAACACAGGTTTTAAGAAGACAATAAACATGCAGCAGTGGAAAAGAATTTTTTTAATAATTGATTTTGGCAATCCAATTTACTCCACAACTCGCTAAATGTCAAAGTTTAAATGCACCTCTACTTGGGGCAAGACCTTCACAGAGGTAGTATCCTTGCACTGTCCTCTGAGGCATCTTGTACTGACTGGTGTTTGAGACGGGACATGAAACCCTGGGTCAGACCCACCATGGCAATTCCTAGGTCTCTGAAAGGAAGATGCCGACAAACTTTACTTTCCCATTAACATTAAACACACAGACTGCACATCAAAAACATATAGGGTATGTCTACACTAGCCCCCTAGTTCCAACTAGAGAGGCTAATGTAGGCATTCGAAGTTGCAAATGAAGCCCGAGATTTAATATTCCGGGTTTTATTTGCATGTTCCCATCCAGTCGCCATTTTTAAATTCCACTAGTCCGAAGTAACTGCCCGCGGCTACACACGGCAGTGAAACGGTAATTTGAACTAAGTCCTTAGTTCGAACTAACTTACTCCTCCATGGAATGAGGTTTAACAGGTAATTCGAACTAAGGACTTAGTTCAAATTACCGTTTCACTGCCGTGTGTAGCCGCGGGCAGTTACTTCGGACTAGTGGAATTTAAAAATGGCGACTGGATGGGAACATGCAAATAAAACCCGGAATATTAAATCTCGGGCTTCATTTGCAACTTCGAATGCCTATA